CTTAATAAGAGTATTGCTATATATATTTATACTTGCATATAAGCAAGAGAGCTATGCTCGTATTCTTATCAATCATGCGAATAAAGTGCAACTCAAAAATAAATATATTTTATTTATTATTTTCGATTTCTATAAAAAAATATTATTGAGATTATGACTTGGACCCTCTCCTCCTTCGTGCTCTCTTGACTTTGGTACTCGTACAGGTTAATCAAACACACATTCCTGGCATTAACCAAATACGCCGATAAATCTCTTTTGGAATTTATGAGAAAAAAAGCAAAAGCAATGATTTCAGCAAATCTTAAATAGTTCTTCCATTAATAAAAACAGCATTTGAAAAATGAAAGCGTTCGTTGAGAAATGGTTTTGTTTATATTTTATTAAGTAATCCACCTAACCACCAGCCATGCCCATATTCGGTATTTATTGTTATTATTATTTTTTCGTAAATTTAATTTCATAAACATATGTATACCATAATTTCAATGCGATTATGCTTTGGAATCATACTGGAATAATTCCAAGAACAATCTTTGCCCAAATTCAGCCTTATCCAATCCAAGTGCATTCTTTTTATACATATTCCAAACTTCCACCATTTCCTTGTCCTTCTCCTTTTCGGCCGCTGGGAGAGCTTTCATATAATAATCGAAATCATCGACTATTTGGTAGGCAAAGTCTTTCCCACGTTTCTCCATATCTTCATTGTACTCGAGTACACCATGCTTCTTTAAAGCATTCCATGAGACCCGTTGTTCTGGTGTCAGCTCTTCTGTTTTTGATGCACGTCTTCGATTAAAACTGTTGAAATTTTCCAGCACAAAATCTTTACCGATTGCGAAGAAGAACCGATTGTGTTGGTCATTTTTGTCGGCAGGCAAAACTGCCATTAAAGCTTCCTTAGAGTCCTTCACATATTTCCTAAGTACCTTTCTTTCCTCCTCCATAGCTGGACTATCGATGCTATTCATTACAGGATCGGCAAGAACATCTTGGGCAATTTTGTTGGTGCGTTGTAAACGGAAATCTAAAAAGTTGTTAAAACTTTTGTAAACATTCGCTTCTAGTTGCTTGCGAGCACTTGACGTAGCACTGACAGGTGCTGATGCCGTGGTGGTTGTTGTACCGTGTGGAATGGTGTTATCTTCCTCCGATTCCGTGGAAGATGGTATCGGCAAGCTCGCGGCAAACTGGCAAAAAAAGTATAATAATATTTATTTTAAGAAATATAATTTTTTATGTAAGTTTCCAACCTGTACTACTAAAATCAGTGCGAATGCCAACAACGAAACTTCTTTCAACATCTTTGCTGTGTTTTCAGAACGCTCTCTCAAGTGTCGATGCAGACTAAATGCATTGGAATCTCAGTCAAGCTATTTATATGAAGAATTGAGATGGGACGTACAACTCTAGAGGTAAAAAGTTATGTGCGAGAAAATATTTTTGCAAATATTTAAATAAAAAGTGAGTTCAAGATCTGCGAGGAACGTAGTATTCGATTCATATATATACGATTAAGAGCATTTACATATAATTGTGGGAGCCTTGCTTATTTGCTTATCAATATTTCTACAGAGTAAAGTAACACAAAATTAAATTAATAATATTTTTTGTTTATACCTTTACAGACATACATATGTTGGGTATATATGTACATATTTATGTGATCAAATAAAATGAGGCATTGAAAAGTGATAAAAATTATTGGAGAAAAAAAAAACGATTAATTTAATGATGTGCTGTGCGTTTTACAAATCTTTTGTACCTTCGAATTAAGTATAGCAATAACTGTGAAAATAAGAAAACACGTTACACCGAAGCTATAATACCCTTCACAAATAGTAGAGGTTCCTTACAAGAACGTTATTCGGATTGTTCATCATGTATGGCAGCTAAGTATATGATTTAGCGAATCCATCTTAACAATTTTTGCAGAGATTGTAGCATCACTTTGGAAAATAATGTATGCCAAATTTCGTGAAGATATCTCATCAAATGAAAAAGTGTTTCATACAAGCATTTTATTCCTATCAATCCGATGGTATGGCAGCTTTGTGGTGTTGGTAGTCCGATATCGGCAAATCGAACAAATGAACAGCTTCAAAATTTCAGACCTGTTTAAAAATATTTTGAGTATATGGGGATACTATTTGAGCCTTGAATATGAAACGATATCAATTTCAAACCTGTATCTCTTCTGGTTTTTGAGTTATAAGATGTTGCTTATAAGCAACATTGAGCCATGGTAGTACAAATATTAATAGTTTTCTTTTTTTTATTACTTTTCATACATTTAATGTGTGATATGAGACAAAACARTTTTTCTGTGGGTTACAGCATAAGTGCACCTTACATTTTGAGCATTTAGATTTTGGAATACCAGTCTGGCATAATCTACACCTTCCTTTTCCTCCCCATTCAACCCAATGATCGGTTTGATCAAGACGCATCGACTTCGGAGGTTCAYTTATGYATGATCACTTTGACGACGAAGAGCTCATTGAAATTTCTGACCGTCAGATGGTACCGGCGACGCTGGTGAAGATGAACCTGCTTCCATTCTTTCAGGTATTGCCGATGGACGACCTCTTTTACGTGGGTTTATTGACATAATAGTAGACGCGTGAAGAAGCTCGTTTGCTATGGATAATTGAATATCCAGCAATGTCATATATATCGTTCGTRTGACTTGATTTTTTAGGTCTCGTCTATACAGAAACCAGCTATTGACTACCATTGTATCATGACCAAATAAAGAAGTACGCCAATAAATCGTCTGATTTCGAAAGGTACACAATGAAGCTCTACGCCATTCGTTTGCATACAATAAAGATTTGTTTCTGTACAAATCTTCGTTATGATTTCATCATCGAAGAAACCATTGAAGTAGTTTATAGGATCTTTGAATTCTTGACAAATTGTTTCATCTTTCCAAACAGTTTCGCAATCTGGTAGGCATGCTGACCTCCATCTCAAACTATCCAGGTTTATTTTCTCATACGTTTTACTGACAATTTTTTCTGTGAGCACTTCATTTTCAACTTCATCAGCATTTCCACCGCCTTCAATATTTTCATTTATCAAATTCATTTCCACGTTTTCTCCCTTTTTTCTCACCTCTTCAATTGTTTTTTCAATGATTCTCTCCAAATTCTCTTCCTCTTCTTCTTCTTCATTCCCATCTTCAGAATTATTCTAGTCAAAATGGATAATTTTATTTATTTCTGATTCTGTAAGATCTCTGGTACGCATATCTAAAAGAAAAAAAAATTGTTACTTTGAACAAATGTTGCTTATAAGCAACATTGTGTTTATAAAATTCCTGGAATTACAATATTACACACAATTTTGTTTTGTAAATTTAATTTCATTTTTTTACTTGTTATTTATAAAATAAACCACCTTGTATAAAGAAATGGCAGTCAGTTTACTTTTTATTTAACTTTTTCAAAGCTTATTTTTGTCACTTTCTTTTTCACAAGTTTTTTCGGAACTTTAGCTAGTTATCAAATGAACACCTCTTAAGCTATCGTCATGAAACTTCGCAAACTAGTGGTCGCAGATATCCGTTAGAGACGAAAAAAAAACGGATGGTAAAAATTTTGATATTACGAGGAGTTATCGACAGAAATATGCAATGTTCCCTATAAGCAACAAATGACATGAAAGGGTTAATAGATAGAAGGTTGGACAGCTAGATGACGCTTCCATTCTGAGTGCTACAAATTTGATAGCAAACTCACATTTCTCATGTATACAATTGCGACGAAGTCTTTATTCATAAGCGAAGCTTGCCTCCAAGCAAAACTCTCCATTTACTCATACATGTTACATAAAATGTATCACTTCATTTTGAAGTTTCTTTTTCAAAGAAAAAACACAAAAACTATTTTATAATTAATGGGGAATGTTTCTTATCACTCAAAAGAATATTCTTCGGCATTTAGTTTTTGGAGATTATCTCTTTCAAATGTTGGCCGCGGCTTCGTTTCACATAGTCCATTCGTTGAGTCCAATATTCAAAAAATCGTTCGAGCATTCCGACTGATAACTGGCGAATGGCAAGCGTGTTGTTTTTTCCCAAGGACGGAATCAATACAGGATTGACCGCATAGACTACAGGCTTTACCTATCATTACCGGGAAAAGACACGATCACACGATCTGGATAGCCAATCGATCGACTCAAAAGTTATCTGCTCACTGAGGTGTTCTTTCAATAAATCCATTGATTGATGCAATGTGTGAGATGTCTTGTTGAACCAGATGTCGCCGAGATCACAAGCTTCCAACCGCTGTTTTTCCTGGATGAAATAACAACTCTTAAATCTCTTGAGGTTGCTGTTCATCCCAAATGCGGTAAATAGAGCCAGAAACGGGCCTCATCACTGAAATAAATTTGGCTGTAAAACTTCGGATATTCTTGGAACTTTTCAAGAGCTCATAAAGCGATGCGGTACTGCTTGGGAAGGTCGAGCGGCTTCAGATCTTGCACAAGCTATACATCAATTTAAGACATCAACGTGAAATACGCCAAGTTATTCCATACGTCAGTCCGAGTTGCTGCGAACGGCGCCGAATCGACTCACCACGGCCTTTGTGTACATTTTCAGCTACGACTGCTACATTTTCGTCACTATGGGCTGGTTTATTCGGTCGAATGTTAACGTTGATCAAAAAATCGATTTGTTACACATAAGCTTCTTTCTGAAAGCGGTTCATGGGTTGAGCGGTGGGTTTTTAATTTCCGGCGATTCCCGTCACCCAAACAAATATAATATGGAAGAAGCTTGAAGTTATTGCCAATTAGGTCATGCTTTCCTTGACTAGTTTTGAGAGTAAAGTCAGCGAGCTCTATAACAGTATAGCCGCTCGGCTATTGGAGTGACTGTACACCTCTCCGAAGAAAGCTCCCGTTCGGAGCAGTATATCTAAGGCTAACTTGATGGCAGTCAATTCAACAAGCCTCAGCACAAAAATTGAAAAAAAGTCGCAAACTATTTTAAGCAACTGTATACACTTATGTTTTATTTATTCACTTAAAAGTTAAACATTATATGCTGCTATCAGCAGTTTCATGGATTAAATGTGTCGAAGAAATTAGAGTAAAATTCTGCCTTTTTCTCATCGTCCTTCTCATTTGAAAATTTAGTATACCAATCAATTAATTTGGTCTCATCCTTCTTTTGCTCCTCTGTCAAGATGGACAAGTAATGTTCGATTGCTTTTTCGAATTTGCCCGAAACCACTTTCAATTCGGCCATCAAATCATCCTCGAACTTATCCGAACCACTATCGATAAAAGCTTGTTGCACTGTTTTTGTTTGCTCCAATTCTGGGGGCATTTCGTTAGCATCTTGCAATATGCTCGTTAGCGTGATCATCGACTCGAAAAGCGCCAACATGTCTTCGGCCGCATCCGATTGCCCGCTGGGTTTGTTAGTTTTTAGATATTCCGAAATACGTGTAATGTTCGCTTTAAGGCCGGCGCACTTATCGGGTACAGCCTCCAATTGCGCCAGTGTTTTGTTGAAGAGCGGACGTCCATGTTCGGTCACATATTTCGCCAAACCAAGTAAATCGGCTAAGGTTGTAGTCATAAGCACTTGACGCGGTCTAAATTTCAACTTCTCATTAGAGCGGGCAGTATGTGTGCTCGTATGCTTCTGCTCGACTGCAACTTCACCGGTCGCGCGGCGCATGCGTGGAACAGCTTGCACCTGTAAGGCAGTATGTTAAATAGAGAAATATTTGTTGTTGTAATCAAACTTACCTGCAGCAGCAGCAAAGCGCTGACTATGAAAATAATGAAAGCTTTTGCCATTGTTGCAGTTTAACTGATTGTTACTGATTCTCAAAATATACTGAGGTCCGCTGTTGCATTTCTCAGTTTATATTTGCTTTAGAAAATTAGGAAAATCTTCTTTGAATTTATTAGCTCACATTATGCATTTGAATGTACATCTGTTAGCTATATTTTACTTATAAAAAAATAAAATTCTAGTTAAATACAGTGCGATAATTGTGACCCGGGCTTCATTCACTGGCCTGTCTACGAAGTCTTATCATCTCTTGACGTACATATGTACTATAAACAAACGCCTATAAAATCACACATACCTATGTTTTACATATTTATTATTTATATACATTTTCCCAATAACCAAAAACAAAACAAAAAAAAAAAATAAGTGTGTAATACGAAAGCTATGAACAAAAGCAACAGCTGCATTGCTCGGAAAAGAAAGCTCACCAAACACTGTACTTCAAAATTAATTAAATGTAAAGAGCAATCAAACTTACTTTTAACTAATTAAATACTCGAGTGGCCACAGGGTATATGAGGCTAAAGTGGAGCTGCTGCAGCAGGGAAATAGTGGGTGTATTAACGACTGATTTGTTGGTGAGGAAATCGATAGCTTAGCCCATATGGTAAATGTAAAAGTAGCGAATAATCCCAACTACCGTAGTTTTCTGACTATCCATTCATTATGAGACTAATCAGTACACATCGCTGATATAATATGGTCTCAACCGTTTAAGGAATTATTGCATCGCTCTGAACATGATTGTCTTTGCCTCAGCGTAATTTTTCTTTGAGCGATCCTAAACTATGCCAAACTAATCTAATCCACTCCTCCGCACCTTATTAAATTATTTAATCAATGGTGCTGTCATAAATATTAAAAGATTGACACATCTACATGTATACATATCTTTTTATATACAATCAATTTTTAAATTAAAACTAGTAGAGCATGCGAGAGATAAGCAAATATTTGATAATCGAGAATCAATAAAATGTCTTATTTCAGCTGTTACACAGTGTTAATAGTTTATGATTACAACAGACATATTACAGACTTAAAGCACAATCACATACTGACCCTTTTAAGATTTAAGTATAAAATCTCATAGACAAAAACTTTGTAATTCCATATAAAATGGTTGTAGTTTTCAGAAAACTATAAGATACAATATGACTTCCTGGTCAATATATAATAGAAGCTATGTATATATAGATTAATATAGATTTTGCCTGTTCAAAAAATTGCAATAATTCAGTTTTCAAACGATTCCGTACAGCAGATCGGTCTATACAAGAGCAACTGGTGGGTAGAGATCTTCAACTAGCATTAAGTAAGTACATTTGTTCGAGCATTGACGTTCCCGAATAAAAATTAAAAGCAAACAAATCTCAGTAAGGGCAAGCAATTACTGTCATCTGTAATTAAAACTATTTATATTATTCAGAGTAACCCTTAGCAATTGATGCCTTGAAATGAAATGTTCTATCTATCTTTATATCATCAATACAAGAAATTTTAAGACGCTGAAAATAATACTTTCCTAATAAGGAGCCCTTGAAATCTTGATCCCTCTTGTTGAACTTTTCCGCAGAAAAATGGTTTTCCGGAGTGTTATAGCACAGACAAGCAAAATTTAAAGATTGTTAGAAGTTCTCTAGACTTTTTATCGCTACTTCTTTACATACATAGTAAATATGATACTAACTATTTAGGATGACGTCATTTATGCAACTACAACTGTTGTTAAATTTTTTTCTTTATTTCCTCACCCGTAAATATTTAATTTTTAATAAAAAGTTGCATACATTTGCTATTTCAATATATACTTTAATTGTTTTAATATTTATTTCTCAATTTATCTCTCACATATTAAATATTTTACAAATTTGTTTAGTTGATCGAAAAGAATTCGGTTAGTTTAATAACTTCATTTCCGAAACCATCGGTTGACTTGAAATCATTATACCAGTTGACGATTTTAGACTCCTTAGCCTTCTCCGTCTTCGTTAAATCTTTCACATAATCGCGTACCTTTTCACCAAACGATTTGCAGAAATCTTCGAAACGTTTTTGTATTTCTTCGAGCAATTCATAAGCATCGCACTGCTCGAGCGCTTCCTGTATTATTACCTCTTCAGCAGTCGGTTTTTGCAAGCTGTGATATTTTAATATCAATTCGCTCAATTCGGTTATGGCCACGACGGTGTTTTTAAAGTAACGCAAAATCAAAGCTGCATCCTCCGAATTCTTGATATTCTTAAATGCGTCGTCATCGCCAATCTTTATTGTTAGTTTAACCCTAAGTTCATCCACAGCTGCAATCTTAACTTTTGAAACTAATTTGTTTTCACTAAACTTTTTGGCCACAGACTTTCGTTTGTCGTTTACGGACTTCACGAAATCGTAATATTTATCTGCAAAATTGTTGAACAATTTTTCAAAATCTGCCTTGTGATCTTCAACAGATTCACTCGAACTAGAGCTAGAGCTGCTGTCAGAGGAACGCTTATTTCTGCCCTTCCCCGACTCTTCGGAAGATTCTGATGATGATGATGATGATGATGAGCTGGAGCTTTCGTCACTACCACGTGCTGACACTTGCTGTTAATTTTTAAGCATATTTGGTAAGAGTTAGAATTTTTTAATTTAATTAACGTATTAACAACAACGTATGGTATATGTAGTACCTGCAACAAAATACACGCAATTAACAACGCTAAAGTAGCTTTCTTCCACATCATTTTCTTTGATAGAATTTTAGTAAGCTTCACTTGCTCAAATCAATCTAACGGGAGCTGAAATTTAGCAGCTAATTATATAGCAGTTTCAAAATTGTACTTAAAGACAAATATTAATTGACTTCTTATAAATATTTGATAACCTAACGCTAAATATTTGGCGCTGAGCGCGCTTTATTTTGATTCAAGCACTTTTAAGACACTATTTACTAGCTTAAACTAGAATGAGCAGCCAAGCAGAAGATAGTCGAAATTAATTTTCGTTCTCAAATATGCAAAAGTTGTTTTTGGATTTTCAAATAAACAACATTCCTTTCCGTACATTTGCGTTAATATTTGTAGATAACGATGATTAGATTTATGCTTGTTGAAATAAATTATAAAAATTATTTTGATAATATTTACTAAATATATAGTAAATAAGTAAAAGAAAAATGTTTATGTGATTACTAACAGCTAATTTTCAACAACCCAAATATCCTTATTACTTCAAATTCCGGTGTCTTTCTACAAGCTTGTAGTCTATATACCTTGACGAGTCTTTTACTGCCCCCAAACGTAGCCAAAACTAATATGAAAGGTATTGTTTTAATGCAAGCGAACAAAACTATAAAACGATGGCGTTATCTGTATTATCGAAGTGTTCTTGAAAGATAAAGAGAGACACCTGATCTATGCAACAATTCATCCTTAACAACTACGTTGTATACGGGAAACTATAACTTCAATGCGACAGCAAATCGCCATACCACAACTACATTCTGCTGTTTGTTATCTGTGAGTGGAGTCCGCAGTGTGCCAGAAATAGCAACGATTCTCACTGCGTCGAGTAATTGAGTAAGAGATGTGCTCATAGAATACCGCAATAAAATGCGCGAACTCCCAGCTAAGCCTTGATTTATTGTTGCGAGCAATTGGCGGCTGCATTTTTCTCACCTCTTTCTGGAGATGTTGGCGCTTCAGTGAACACAAAAAAAATGCACTGCGAGAAATTTCGCTTGTTTTTAAATTTGTCAATGCGTTATGCTTACTGTTTTTATTAAACTTACACATATTTTTATAATGAAAACCAATCATTTAAAAATAGTTATATTTTATTAGGCACAATTTTACTGAACATATGACTTTCGTTAAGCAAATATGTATGTATGTATGTTTGTATTATACAGTACTCTTCTAATGATTACTATAATTTGAACAAAAAATGTTTGCAATTTGATTTATTACTTGGCAGGTGCCTTAAAATAAAAAAAAAACCAAACAATTTTGAAGGAGTATTAAATGCAATGTTGTATGGCACTTACGTCTAATTAATTAATAATACTTTATTTACATAGGTAAAACTGACGGCACAATGCTTAGATATAAACAAATATTATACACTAACCTACTTAGCGGCATAAGACATTAGTATTAGTAATAAAATTAAATTTTGCTTCTCCTTAACACTATTATTATATTACTTTGCGCCTGCAGGTTTTTTCACACTGAATCCTCCCAAACATCGCTCAATCCGCATCCATTTTCATCTTGTGAAATACGTCTTTATACAGCGGCAGAAATTTGGTCAAGACAATCACTTGACTGCTCATATTCGTCGCTGCGCCGTATTTGCGATACCAATCCACCAGCGATGCATCGAAATCGCTACGCTGCAGCTGTTGCTGTTGCTGTTGCTGTTTCTGTTGCTGTTGCTCATTCGCTAGCAACTTTTCGACATATTCACCCACTGTGCTGTTGAAAAGTTTGGTGAACGACACAAATCGCTTTTGCAACTCCACTTCGATCTGCAACACGCCCGCTTTACGGAACGCATTATCAATAATCACATTTTCCGCTGTCGGCTGCTTTATGCGCGTCGTATTATGCAGCTGCACAAACATTTCAAAATCTCTCGCCATCAATGTTTTCACACCGAACTGTGCCAGTTGTGTTGGAAAATCATTTCCTTTGTTCAGCTTGAGTGCTTCGCGCACATCCGCCATGAATGCGATGCAGCTCTGCTTCACCGCCTCCATTGTCGCACATTTCACCATCTCGATTGTTTCGTCTTGCAGAAACTGGTTGACGACCGATCTCTGTTGCTCCAATGCATAATCAATCAGCTGTGTGACTTCGCGCATCATTATAGATGCAAGCCGATCGCGTTCGCGCTGCTCAACTGACAACACTTCGCTCGTTTCTTCACTAGCATCGCCAACATCAACACCAACACCATCAACGTCGTCATCATCACCATTAATGGCACTGGCACTAGCAGCGGCACCTTCACCACCACTACCATCATTGCCGCCACTACCCTCGTCGTTCGCTACTGCTATGCCATCGTCTTGCTCGTCACGCTCATTGTCGCGCATTTGTATGCTCGCTTCTTCGCTTTCGCGCACCTCTTCGCTTTCGCCTACTTTTTCATCGTTTGGCGTTGTTTTCATAAATTGTGGTGTCGCATGCCTTGTCCTGCTCGCTGCACCGCGCTCGGTGTCCTCCGCCTCGTCTTCGTATGTCTCAACTGTTGCTTCGTCAGCATCTTCATCCTCTTTGTCGTTAATATCCAGTGCTGTCTCTACGAAACGCTCTGTACTACTACTACTGGTACTGATGGCTTCTACATGGCCTGCCGCCGCTCGTGTTGACTCCGCAGCGACCAACTAAGTAAATAGATGTTTTGATTAACTTTTAGCTCAACATATGCATGTATAGTTGTATGTATGTATGTGTGCGTGGTGTTTGTTCTTTATTATAGTGCTTTCATCTATTTCTTATTTGTTTAGTTTTGCATGTAGTTTAAGGTCAGATTTGTTTATAAATACTAATAGAAAAGTATAGTGTGGGAAAAAATGATGACACCGACTCACCTGTGCCAAGAGTAATGCGGTGAGCAGCAGCAGCAGCAGTGGCAGCGTCGCTTTCTTCCACATTCTCTCAGCGAAAAAATGCTATACCACACACCAATGACTGAGATGCAACTGAAATTGTTTATCATGTCTATAGTCTTTTATACATTACACTTAATAAAAGAGAAATTGCAATATCTCTTTGATTTGTTTTGTATGTTTTTATATTTTCACACCCTACACGCAACACATGGAGGAGTGTCAGTTTGTCGCACACATAGAGCGCAGAGTGTGTGGAGTCTACAGCAATTGCTTACGCGTTAAATATGCTATATTTATAAGTTTTGAATGAGAATTGAAACGTAAAGTTTAGATGAGCATGAGATTTTCAACAATATCTACGACAAATCGGAAGTATTTGACAAATCTGAACATAAAATATTTTTTTTATTAAAAAATTAAATATTGTATTGAATATTGATATTAAACAAAAATATTTTTTATTAATTGTAAAAGTAACAAATTAAGATTTCAGTTATATTTAAAGTTGAAGTTTTTTAATTTTTAGTTTAAGATTTTTCAATTCTTATACTTAACTTTTTTTTAAGATTTTAGTATAAAAATATGTTTTTAGTATTATTTGCGGCAATAATCTCTAGTAAAGTATATTTTTGCGCTTATACAAGTAGTATATAGTATAGAAGCATATTAGTAATGCATATATTTTTGTTATATAATATATAATGACATATGTTCCTATTAGCTTAACAACAAATGTAGCTAAAATGTATTAGAACGACAATAAACGCAGACAGCCTTTACTGTTATTTGTTCAAGTTATTAACACTAATGGCCTGAAGCTAAATGTTAGAAGCAAATTCATACTATTTTATTTACTTTATTTTATTTTAAAAATAACAGAACTGCACTGAAGAGATTTCAAATACAGGTTAGGAATATTATAGGAAGATTTTTATAGTATTTTTTGAAAAATAGTAAAAGTAAAAACACCAAAAACTACCAAAAACATATAGAAAAAACAAACACACAAGAAAATATGACAATTGAAAATGTATAATTAAGAAAAATTAAGATTTAAAATTAAAAAATAAAATATCAAAAATTTATTTACGAAAAAAAAAATAGAAAAATCAAGCCCACTTAAAGCTTAATAAAAAATTGCAAACAAAACAAAACAGTAGTTAAGTATAATAAAGTTATAGTTCAAATCACTTTTTATGGCATCTCTATAAACATTTTTTTCATTATTCTTAATTTAAAACAGAAGTATTGAAGATACCCACGTTTATTTGATAAGAAAATGCATTAACATCCGTGAAATCGCAAGATTTTTCTGACTGGGCTAGAAAAGCTCATATTTTGAATAATAGAAATTTAAATAATGATGAATAAGATTCCCTAGCCCGAAATACGAGATACAATTAATACTTTATCGGATTTTAATTAATGAAAATGAATTTATGCTTCTCTGAAAAATATTTCAACAATTTTTTTTTTTTTTTTTTTGTTTTAACCAACACAAAATAAATCACAATTCTATAGATAGATGTAATCAACTCTCTACTAAAAACTAAAAGAATTACAAGAATCAATTGTCAAATAACAAATATGATTTATTAAATAAAAATAGTCAAATGTCAAAAGTCAGTTTCTAATGTCAAATATCGCAAAAAAATTTAACGTATTCCAAAAATTAACTGTCAATCGTCAAATGTCAAAATAACTTAAACTTATGCGAAAATCAACTGTCAAAAGTCATACTAACTTAAAAAACGCCAAATATCGAATGTCAATTATTAGTTGTCAAATCTATTACGTCAAAAGTTAACTATCAAATGTTAAAAAAAACTGGAACGTATGCCAAAAATCAACTGTCAAACATCAATTTAACTTCAAAGAATGCAAAAAGTCAACTGTCAAAATAATTTCAAAACAACGTTCTAAACATTAAAAAAAATATATATTTCAAGTAGAACTTAACCTCTTCCACATTTAAAAATTATTTACGACACAATCTCCACAATTTTTGGGAGAAGAATCTCTGTTAAAAGCACTAAATTGCACTTATGTACCGTCAAACACCACCATACACGAAACGAGACTTTATGAACATAATATTTATATATTTGAAATTTATTCTATATTTAAAATTTGATACGTTATTTTTTATATATCGCTTCCGTCAGCTCCCCACCGTCGTAGTGCGCCTCATATTCGCACTTGACCGCACCGATTTGCGAACTTGTTTTTAATTGGAATCAATTGCTTGCATTTTCAACACCCAATTACATACATATTTTCATACATAAAAATCACACGCGTTCATAAATACATATCTATAAGAGTACATATTCACGCTTGGCGACACATGATTAACCCAATCTATGCTACTTAAGTATACTATATGCTGGTGTACATATTTAATCTGGTAGAAGAGGTTTTTCATATAGGGGTGATTATGTTAATTGTTGCTTATATAATATAAACAATTTTAAAAATTAATAAGAATTAAGTTTATTTACTAAATATTTTTATGAGTGACTTAATTTTTGCGCTTAAACGCGTTCATATAATAAAAATTTAATTTGCTTTTCACACGCCTGTATAAATGGATCTATATTGTATTGTATATTCATTTCACCAAAAATTAGTAGAAAACCAGGGTTCAGTGACATTTTTATACAAATTGCAAATTTTTCAACTGCAATGTGGACGTTAGAGTACATACATGCTTATATGTGTACATACATATATTATTGTCTATTCTGAAAATACGAATTTCCCCTTTACTAAAATTTGTAAAATCTTCTCATTTCATATTTATTTATAATATATATGCATACCTGAAGCAAATATCTGCCGTACTACATTTTTATGTGCGCTAGTGTATGCAAGTATGCAAAATACAATGTATGTATTTAAATGGGCGCACACTCTGAGCAACTTTCAATGGAAAATAATGCTCCTCTGCAATGCTTTCAGTTGCGTTTTGGGATAGCTTCTCTTTATATCTCAATGAATTCTTTATATTTACGGCATGAAGACATTCATAACAACTCCATAATACGGACGTAAACGCATACACACATATGTATGCACACATTTCATATTTAATATGCATATATGTTTTATATGTATATATATATATATATATGTATGTATTTGCGGGCGCTTGTGTGCGTGGCTTAAATGTACGGAATGTTTGTCATTTATATCTTAATCGATAATAGCAAATTTTATAATTATACTATATAGCGAGGATAAACGATTTTGAAGCTATTACAAAAGCGTCTTAAAACCGTGATTCACCAATGCTTGGTTGCTATAGCTCATAATAACCAGTGTCTATAACCGGAAGGTACTCCATTACTGCAAGACCCGCTTACAGCAGGATATCTGTATCGTTATATGTAATAATACTGCAGTGTATGTACATATGTATACATATATAATTTTACAAACATACATACACACACATATATATATATATAGATACATATATATATACTTTAGAACGTGTGTTCGTATATTTGTTGCTTTCTATGAGTTCAGCAAAGAGTTCACTATTAGTTTTATTTCTCAATCAGTAGACAGTATGCTTTTCTAACATAGTAACCACAATGTATTCAAATATAATTACTGTGTATTTTTTCATGCTTTACAATTCAATAAAAAGTATACAAAGTAATTGAAAAAGTAGCGTAACGTGATTTGTTTGAGCATAGGAGGAGTGGAAGCTTGTGGACTCGTATATATGTATGTATACATATATGCACACATAGATGTAGGTACACATGTATTAGTGTTTTGTTTGTATTTGTAAAATGTGTCTCATAAAATTTGTCGTTCTACATTTTCAAAAAAAAAATTTAGCGATTTTGAATTGAAAAATTGTAACCCAAACTCCCTATAATATCACACAGAAAGAGGATGGGTGGCGCAGAGCATGCGACTCGTCAGCGGAACTTATAACAGCTACACAAGGGGCTCCAGGAAAACGGCTGCATAAATACTGCATTCCAGACAGCAGTGGGATTTCAAGAAACGAAATAGCTGATGAGATTACCGAAAGTGCCATCCGTCTGATTAGCGAGACAGTACAGAAAATAAGAAGGACGCTAAAAACGAAACATAACCAAATTTTCGAAATGGCGAATATGCGAATCAGGGAGAGATGGATTGACTTAAGAACATACAGGATCGCCAAGATCATGTGCGAGATTTCCGAAATAAAACACGCAAGATTTTTTACTCACACGGTGTCGAAAGAACTGCAGAACGGTTGTTGGTCTAACTTTAGAAACTGCAGGACTGTAGGCATGTCTAAAATTCTCGTTTCTCGTAAATTTCTCGGAGCTACGCAGTTCAAGCGATTATAAGTAAAAAGCATCAATGTAGTTGTTAAGCTTCTCCTTAAGTTCGCAAAAGCGTTGACGAGTTTATGTATGGCATGGCAGCCGGCCAGTATAGCTTAACCTAATCCTATAATGTTACTCACAAATCGGCACTCTACTCTTAGAATTTCTATATAGGAATGATTTTAAATAAGATAAAGAACTTCGGTTCTTCATGGACTTTGAACCTATCTTTCAAGTTTTATTGAGATGCTTCCCAACTATGCAATCAAAGCATTAAATAGGTTTGAGAATTGACAATGAAACCAGTGAACGGAGTTGAAAAAAATGTGGATTTTGGTTATAAAATAAAAATAAATAAAATATATTAGTTACATTTATTAGCGAAAGCTGCAAATTTTATGGTACATACCTATATCAGTGGCGGATTTGTCTCCATTTCGTATCCCAAAGAAATGGAAATTCTTATTGACTGCTTGATAGATAGATTCAAAGGCGTTTTGGCCTGATCACTGGCAGTGCCATTGGAAGCAAAGCCAAAAGTCAAAAGACAACAAGTTACCGACTACTGCATTAGAATCGTTGAAGAACTGCGTTGTAATTCATAGTTTTCTTCGATAATCTTCTCATTTCCTATGACGAATGCGAGAGCTGAACGTTCTTTTTTAACACTGCGCAGCATTAAAACATGGCTGTGGACAAACATGCTTCAAGATAGATTGATCGGCCTAGCGTTGCGGTCACTGCTGAAGAAGTTCTCGAAGGATTCTCAAAACTTGGCCCACATTGCCCAGCTCACGCACGGACCAGCGTCGATTAGTGAACACAACGACAGAAAAATTCAACTTCTATGTACGAAAGATCCACATTCAGAAGGGAAAAGATTTTACTTTTCTGAACATAAAAATTGATATGGTCCCATCGGAGGAAATAAATTGAGAAATACTTTATTCAGTGATAAAGTAAAAATTAATATTTACGGAAATGATTGTAAGTTATTTGTCTGCCTGCCTAAAAGTAAATAATTTGATGTAGATACACCACAAAGGCAATTAAAGAAGTGGAAATATATTGTTTGGGAATGCTCTCCTGGCAAGGCGTTGGTCTTTTATTTTGGATAAAGGAAACAATGTCACTGAGATGATGTTATCAACAAGATAACGACCCGAAACATACATCGAGATTGGTATTTTAGTGGTTCAAGGACGCAAATGAGACCGGTATGAAATGGCCCAGCCAATCCCTTGAACCAACTCGATTGAAAAATGAAGTGCTCTTAAGAGGAGATTGACAGCATTTTATTTTAAAATAATGAGTAAATGTGGCATTAAGCAAAGAAACCAGAAGTGTATGTACATACGATTTACTACATAAATAAAAAACGACGATGTTTTTAATTCACAAGCGAATATAACCTTTTAAGTGGACATATTGGGTAGTCGAAAAAGTGTTTTCGTATTTTGTCAATAGATGTCGTTGTAGGCGCATATTTCCTGCGCTATCAACCACATTGTGTCATACCATAAAGTGCTGGAAATGCGAAATTTTAAGCCTCATTTAAATAAAACAAAAATTCAATTCGGGGAAGTTGAAAGAAAGTTACAGCTGTTCAAAAATGTGTGAAAATAATAAAGGAATTCGCTATATTTTGACACTTTTTTATGAAAAAGAGAAGAATGCCACACAAGCCACCAATGAAATTTGTGAAGTCTACGGAGACGATGCTGTATCAGTTCGTGTAGCACAATAATGGTTCGCTCGCTTCCTTTCTGGAAATTTCAAAATTTCGATTTACACTGATGTAATAATGTGTCTAGCAGAAAATTCTCGACCAAAATTTATTTATTTATTAATATAAATATAAGAAAAAATAAGTTGATGTTTTGTTAGAAGTACGAAAATACTTTTTCGACTTCGATTATTTCTAATGCAGTGGAAATATTTTTGTTAATAGCTATCTAAAGGCACTAAGCAATATTAAAAAGTGCGCACTTAAATTAGTTTTTATTATTTTTGAATATTTTTCGGTACACATTTTTATTAGAAACATATTAAACAGTATTTTTTTGTCAGTTTTGTTAACTTTACTTAATTATTGTTCTCGGTGATGACTTTTTTTTCAACACTTGCATTGCTAATTGCTTAAAAATGCTTATATAATTCAAACACGCGCTCACACCAGCAATTAAAACAACAAAAATTCTTAATTAATTAACACATGCATTAGTAATTATTATTATTAATTATAATTTTTTAAATTCTTTTCACATACGCGACGACGCTCAAGCGTACAACTCGAAAAACTTGGCAAAGATCTCCACTTTCTTCTCCGAGTCCGTTTCGGCATTAAACGCACGTTGCCATTCGATCATTTTGCGTTCACTCGCCCGCTGTTCGGCCGTTAACTTTGCCAAATAACTATCTACACGAGCGTTGAACTTCTCGCTGAAGACAAGAAAGCGTTCTAAAAAATCCACCTGTAACTTATCCAAACCATTCTTCTTCAACGACATCTCCAAGTACATATTCTCTGTTGTGGCATTCTCGAGCGCCGTCGTATTATGGCGCTCTACCAGCTCGGTGAATAATACGACCATATCGTATAGTTCCCCCACCTTTTCGTCTTCGCCCAATTTCTTCACATTGTCAGCGCGTGCGACGAAATCGGAAAAATTGCCCAGGTGTGCTAATAACGAGGCGGTGGGCTCCATTAGTGTGACCGCATCTTTGAGTACGTTGCGCAAAACTTCGGTACCATGTTCGACCGTAAAGTTGGAGAGTAGTGCGAACTGCTCGAGCGTGTAAAAGAGTAGTTTATCACGTTCGCTCCATTCATCAGCGTAAACTTTGTTGCCACTATTGTTGTTATTGCCGCTGTTGCTGCTAGTGTTTTCGTCATGTGCAATAATAATGTTATTGTTGGCGTTGTTGTATGCGTTAGTGGAAGCAGCTGATTCAGTCCTGAGTTGTGCTTCTTTAAACGCGTCTGGCGAACGGCTCGAGTCACTTGCTTGGGGTAACACGCTGATAAGCTGCGCACACATACATATGTACAGACATACAAATCAGACAATAATTATGTTGATATTTCGCATTATCTTTTGTATATTCACACTAACCTGCAAGCTGACCAACAAATAGTAGAGCAACATTGTGTTTCCTTTAAACATTTTAAGCGTTGTCACGCCGTCGAAGCTCAAATAATTCTATTTACCAAAACAATTTGTGTGTAATTGTCAGTATTTTCCTATTTTCAAACAGCCTCTAACTTCTAACACGCCTCCATTCATACTAAATTAGCGCCTAGTAATTTTTTAGTACACGATTCGTTTGGTTATCGTCTACGCCGCACAGAAAACGCTCAACAGCGCGCAGACAATGTTTATAAGCAAAGAGCGCTGAACAAATCATTATAATGAATATGTATATTTAATAAAAAAAAAGTATGTTAAATATGAAAGTTCAATGCGGTCAAGTTCCAGCGTAAATTATTTTATGCATTGAGTTCCACTGATGACAGAGCTGATATCGTGCTGCTGCGCAGCTTTCGCGCTTTGCATTCGAGCTTACTGCGTTCTTGTTTTCTAGAAATGCTCTATATCAAAAAAATTTACATTCTAGGCAACTTACAGGGGGTATACATATATAACGGGTGATCCAAGTAGAGATACTGTTTTCACAGCCTTTTTTTTTTTTGGACAAATCACGCATGAGTCGTGTCAAGCTCACATATTGTTTTCATTAAGTTTTTTTTTTTGACATTTCATCATGGAAAGACTTGATCTGAACAACGTTTACAAATCGTTCTACTTTATTAGAAAAGTTTGCATTCTGTAAAGAATGTGTTTCACCCACCTCGCTCAACTATGGTCAACCTAATTGGCGTGCTGAGCACATTGAGAATGCTTGAGACCCAGCATTCATTATTTAGTAAAATACGGCCGCTATGTCCAGCACGCAGTCAAAAATATGAAGCAGCCGTAGCCAAGAGTGTACACGAGGACCATGTAGAGATCATTCGACGCCATTCGCAGCAGTTCGGTCTGACGTGTGGAACGATTGACGCATTGAACATTGAGACCTTATATTGAAAGCGTAGAAAAACAGCTCGTGCAAGGACTGAAGCCGCTCGATCTTTCCAAACGACATCGCTTCGCTCTATGGGCTCTTGAAAAGTTTCAGGAATAACCGACGTTTCGAGCAAAATTAAGCAAATTTTGTGACATGTGGATTCAACAATTTATTGATTGAACACTTCGATGCGCAGATAGTTTAAAATTTTAGGCTGCTCTATTGGCCACCAAGATCGTTTGATATCGCACCGTTGGACTATTTCCTGTGAGAATATGTAAAATCTAAAGTCTATACCGACAATGTCGCTTCGATTCACGCCTTGAAGCCAAACATCGCGCGTGCCATTCGTCGTTACCAGTCAAAACGCTCGAACGAGTCATCGAATATTGTACTCAAGGGATGGACCATTTAAGACGACGCTGCGTCCAACATTTAAAAGAGATAATCTTCAAAAAGTAAATGCAAAAGAATGTTCTTTCGAATGATAATAAACATTCCCCATAAAAATTAAAGTTGCTTTGTTTTTTCCTTAAAACAGTTGGGAACCTCGAAATGGATCACCCTATAAATATAAAAATATAAATATACATATGTCCTACATACTTATGCAAATATTGTATGTCTACTTATAATCATATCACCACATGACATATTCATATATGTATGTACATATATAAATACTTACTGAAATGGAATGTTCTGTAAACTTTTTCTAATACATATTTCAAGGTTAACCTGTAAGTAAAAATTACATACATAAATTAAAGAAATGTTACCAACTTTCTATATTTATTTCTTATGAAGTCTTGGATCTAGATAGCACACATGAACATATCGTATCTATGATTCGATACTAAACAAAAGGTGTAATTATGGAGGAGGTTGTCTTCCTTTAGTTATATATTGCATACTTTTGGGGAGCTGATAGGTATTATCAGAGAACGTATATTTATATCAGAGAATGCCTATCATAGACATAGATAGATAGACGTTCTCTGTTTATATATATATTTATATTTATATTTATGTATATATATATATTTATATATATAAATATACGTTCTCTGGTATTATGAAGTAAGGGTCCCCCGTAAGTCAAATATTTTAAAATGCAATACATTGAAAGGATTATGTAAGAAAGAGGTAAACGAGCATTCGGTTAGATTTGCCAATTGGGACTCAAAAAAAATCATAGAAACTTTAACCGAAATCTCTGGACGCGCTATTAAGTATTTAACCAGTGACTTAACGGGTAGGTGGTTTGATGGTCTGGTTGGCAGTCATCTGTCATTTAATTTCTTTTTTAAAAAATAGTTCTTTGGCGAAAAAAAAACAGTCTTGGTTAACCAGAACTTACCTAACAGAACTCTGTTAACAAGACATTAGGAAACCGGCCCTAAGAAATTATTCTTAGATTTCGGATACTTTAGGCTACCAGACTGTTAAAAAATTATGCAGAGAGCACAAATAATGCGGTAGATTCGAATACGGCTACTAACAAAGGAAGGAGAGAGAGAGAGATGAAATTCCACCTCTGCAACTGCTAGTCCAAAATTGATCAAATCTTGAATGTAACATACTTGTTATGTTCTCTCCCAAATATGGTGTTCTAAATCATTATATTTATGTTTGTCAATAAGTAAAATACGTTAAAAGTTTTCTAATAATTCATAGATCAACCAAGAGGAAAGTTGGGAGATCCTATAAAGTATTTATTAGGACGAAAGATCAACGCAAAGAGGTGAGCCTGTTTAGGAATCCCGGGTCTTTCGGGTTGTTGGTCTGCCCAGCCCCTCTGTCGTTGAAATATCGATCTGAAATTTTACACACTTCCTTTTCACCTCAAGAAGCTGCACAATGGTCGGAACCATCGATATCGGCCCATTACTGCATATAAACATCCTAAAGACCGCCGCATCAAATCCCAATGTTTCACTTATACGTTTATGAAGAGTTCGGTGGATTCGAAACTTACACTTTTGCTTCTTTAATGTTAAATTCTAAAAATCAATTCTGTATCGT